AGGAGTTATTCTTGTTGGAGTAAGCTTGAAGTTAATCTAAACCGGAAGCTTCTAGAAGACCAAAACCGAGTTATGGTTTGTTAGAGATAAAGATCAAATATTAGGAGTTATCTAATATTGAATGTAATCCTAGAGAGATTAGGATTTAGAGATTCTTATAAATAGAAGTCGAGCAATGACTTTGTTGATTAAGAGAGATTAAGGGTTTATGAGAGTTAGAGAGAAAGCTTGAGTTTTGAGTCAGTTTCTTAAGCTAATAAAAGTGAGTTATACTTTTCAATCTTGCATTCATAAACCATAATCTAATTCTATATTTGGTATCAGAGCTTCGACAACGATCCGTGAGAAATCATGGCAGAACTTATCGAAGCATCAAACACGGCGGCAACAAAGGTGAAAGACGTGGGAGGATCTTCATCCATCAAGTGTCCAATGTTGACATCAACTAACTACATCGTGTGGACCATGAGGATGAGGATGGTACTCAGGCTTCACAAAGTATGGGAGGTTGTACAGGCATCGTCGGATGATGAAGAGAAGAATGTCATAGCCATGGCTTTGATATTTGAATCCATCCCCGAATCCCTTATCTTACAGGTTGGAGAATTAGATACAGCTAAAAAGGTATGGGAAGCGATAAAATCAAAGCACTTAGGGGCAGAGAGAGTAAAGGAAGCAAGGTTGCAAACCTTAATGGCAGAGTTTGATAGATTGAAGATGAAGGAGACCGAAACAATTGATGACTTCTCTAGCAAACTATCCGAAATCTCATCAAAATCTGCATCACTAGGAGAAACAATTGAAGAAAGCAAACTTGTTAAGAAATTTCTTAAGAGTCTTCCCCGAAGAAAGTACATTCACATTGTGGCATCACTTGAACAAGTACTTAACCTTAAGGAGACAAGCTTTGAAGAAATAGTAGGGCGGCTTAAGGTGTATGAGGAACGTGTTGAGGAAGAAGAGGAAACTCAAGATGATCAAGGGAAGTTAATGTACGGAGCTGCGGAAACTCAACCATCACAATCTCATCGTGAATACGGTGGAGAATATAGATCCAGAGGACGAGGAGGAAGATTCTATAGCAGAGGAAGAGGAAGAGGAAGGTCTAATGGAGGAAGAGATACTTCAAAAGTTGTCTGCTATAGGTGTGACAAGTTAGGTCACTTCGCATCCGACTGTCCGGATCGCCTGCTTAAGTTGCAAGAAGTACAAGAACATGACACAAAGAGTACAGAGGAAGCTGATGAGCTAATGATGCATGAGATAGTGTACTTAAATGAAGAGAAGGTGGTACCAAGCAAGTATGAAACCAATTCTGGAGAATCTGATGTTTGGTATCTCGATAATGGAGCTAGCAATCACATGACTGGAGATCGACGGTACTTCAAGAGTCTAGATCGGACCATCACAGGGAAAGTAAGATTCGGAGATGACTCACGAATAGACATTAAAGGGAAGGGTTCCATAGAATTCATTGATAGAAACGGAGAAATAAGGAAACTGGTTGATGTCTATTTTATTCCAGAGTTGAGAAGTAATATCATTAGTCTTGGGCAAGCTACGGAATCTGGTTGTGACGTGAGAATGAGAGGAGAAGACTTAACCATGCATGATCGAGAAGGAAAATTACTTGTCAAGGCGGTGAGATCAAGAAACCGTCTTTACAAAGTAAACATGGGAATAAAAGAAACAATGTGTCTTTATTCAACAGCACAAGTTGATTCAGATCGGTGGCATGCGAGATTAGGACATATCAACTTTGAAACACTGAAGTCTATGGTGAAAAGAGAACTTGTAACAGGGATTTCTCATGTTAACTTTGAAAAAAGGATATGCGGCTCATGTTTGCTTGGAAAGCAAACAAGACAAGTCTTTCCCCAAGCTACTATGTTCCGAGCAACCAAACCACTTGAACTGATCCATGGTGATCTTTGCGGACCAATCACTCCAAGTACTGCAGCGGGAAACAGATACATATTTGTACTCATCGATGACTACTCAAGATACATGTGGACTGTGTTACTTAAAGAAAAGAGCCAAGCATTTGAAAAATTTAAAAGATTCAAGAGTTTGGTAGAACAAGAAACAGGGGAAACGATACAAACTCTTAGAACAGACAGGGGAGGAGAGTTTGTATCACGAGAGTTTAATGATTTTTGTGCTATAGCCGGGATAAGACGACATCTCACAGCTCCATATACTCCTCAACAAAATGGAGTTGTTGAGAGACGGAACAGGACGCTTATGGAGATGACACGAAGCATTCTAAAACACATGAGAGTTCCCAATTTCTTATGGGGAGAAGCTGTGAGACATTCAACCTACTTGTTAAACCGAATAGCTACAAGATCACTCAAGGATAAGACTCCATACGAGATGCTGCGATCTAAAGTTCCTAGCATTAACCATCTCAGAATCTTTGGTTGCATAGGATATGCAAAGACAGAGGCGACCCACCTAAAGAAGCTAGATGACAGATCGCGTACACTTGTTCACTTAGGAACAGAGCCTGGCTCAAAAGCATATCGACTATATGATCCTCAGAACAGGAGAGCTGTGGTAAGTCGTGATGTCGTCTTCGACGAAACAAAAGGATGGAACTGGAACAAAATCAATGCAGAAGACGACAATGTAGGTGATCTCAGAATCGATTTTGGATCATTTGGAAATCGGGGAATCCAAAGAACAGAACAAAACAGAGAAACAGAGGATGAGAATGGGATCGAAGAAGGCACTGCAGAAACTTCTGAAACAGGGCATGAGACTGATGAAGAATCTTCTGAAAATGAAGATAACATTGACAATAATGAGAACCAACCGCAACCAGGGAGAGTAGTGACTAGATCGGGAAGAGAAGTGATCAAGCCCAAGTATCTTCAGGATTATGTCTTGCTTGCAGAAGAAGAAGGAGAACGTTTGCTAATGAGCTTAAATGATGAGCCATGGGATTTTTGTGAGGCTAAGGAGTCAAAAGAATGGATGGCTGCATGTGAAGATGAAATTCATTCTATTGAAAAGAACCATACTTGGAATCTTGTAGATCCACCAAAAAATGTGAAGCCGATAGGTTTGAAATGGGTGTTTAAGCTCAAGAGAAACTCCGATGGAAGCATAAGCAAACATAAAGCTAGACTTGTTGCAAAGGGTTACGTGCAAAGATATGGAATTGACTTTGAGGATGTCTTTGCTCCAGTAGCACGTATTGAGACAATACGTCTCCTAATAAGTCTTGCAGCCTCTAAAGGTTGGGAAATACATCACTTGGATGTAAAAACGGCGTTCTTACATGGAGAGTTGAAGGAAACAGTGTATGTAATGCAGCCAGAAGGTTTTAAAACAAAAGGACATGAAGAAAAGGTATACAAACTAAACAAGGCCTTGTATGGTCTTAGGCAAGCTCCGAGGGCATGGAACGAAAAGCTAAACCAAGTACTTAAGGAACTTCAGTTCACGAAGTGCTCTAAGGAACCCTCAGTCTACAGAAAGTGTGTGGATCAACACATTCTTCTCCTTGCAGTATATGTTGACGATCTATTTGTCTCAGGAACAAGTGTTGAAGTGATAAGAAACTTTAAAAAAGAGATGGCATCGAAGTTTGAAATGAGTGATCTAGGGAAGTTAACATATTACCTAGGAATTGAAGTGTGTCAATACCAAGAAGGAATAACTCTGAATCAAAGGCGGTATGCGCTCAAGATATTAGAGGAAGCTGGAATGAGTGAATGCAACTTGGTTCACACGCCAATGGAAGTGGGACTGAAGCTATCGAAGGCATCGGAGGAGAAAGACATCGACGCCACAAACTACAGAAAGAATGTAGGCTGCCTTCGATATTTGCTTCACACGAGACCGGATTTGTCTTATTGTGTAGGTGTGTTGAGTCGATACATGCAAAATCCCAAGGAGTCACACGGAGCAGCAATGAAACAATGTCTAAGGTACTTAAAAGGGACAACCACTCTTGGTTTGAACTTTAGCCGATGTAAAGGAATACCAAAGTTGGTTGGTTACAGTGATAGTAGCCACAACGTTGATCCCGATGATGGAAGAAGCACAATGGGGCATGTATTCTACTTTGGTAAGAGTCCAATAACATGGTGCTCACAAAAACTGAGTGTTGTAGCATTGTCATCGTGTGAGGCAGAGTTTATGGCAGGAACTGAGGCAGCAAAGCAAGCTATTTGGCTTCAAGACTTACTAAGTGAAATAGCCGGAACTACTTGTGAGAAGGTGGTCATACTCATTGATAATCAGTCGGCCATTGCTCTTACAAAGAATCCAGTATTTCACGGCCGTAGTAAGCACATACATAGACGCTACCACTTCATAAGAGAATGCGTGGAGAATGGGCTAATCGAGGTTGCACATGTTCCGGGAGATGAGCAGAAGGCGGACATACTAACCAAGGCACTTGGGAGAATTAAGTTCAAGGAGATGAGAGAGCTCATTGGAGTTAGAGACATGGAACGAGACGACTTCAAGCTTAAGCGGGAGAATGTTGGAGTAAGCTTGAAGTTAATCTAAACCGGAAGCTTCTAGAAGACCAAAACCGAGTTATGGTTTGTTAGAGATAAAGATCAAATATTAGGAGTTATCTAATATTGAATGTAATCCTAGAGAGATTAGGATTTAGAGATTCTTATAAATAGAAGTCGAGCAATGACTTTGTTGATTAAGAGAGATTAAGGGTTTATGAGAGTTAGAGAGAAAGCTTGAGTTTTGAGTCAGTTTCTTAAGCTAATAAAAGTGAGTTATACTTTTCAATCTTGCATTCATAAACCATAATCTAATTCTATAATTCTTTACATTGTTATTCTTTTTCTTCTTCTTTTTTGCTTGTTTGTAGTATCCTTATTTAATAAATAAAATTGTTAAAACAAATTCTTTAATTAGTGTGCGTATAGATAAAACATCCTATAATTTATGACATAGGAAGTATATATATTTGAGTGAAAATCTAAAAAAAAAAAAAAGTTCACATAAAAATGTCTCATCAATGTTCAGGGAGATTAAAGATATTGGGTGCGTGACTGTCAAACAGCTTATGTTCTGCTTTTTGTTTGTCACATGCGGTTGCTTGGGGATGGTGATTTATAACCACACAGGGACTTATAGTACTTTGATATATAATGCAATAATGGGGATGGTGAATTTTTTTGCATTACTGAATCTTGTTTTCTTTTGTACATTTTATCTATCTCTTACACAAGTGGTTGGTTTCCAACTTTTCATCAGTTTAGCTTTTAAAAATTATGCATGTGTGTCAGTGTGTGATGGATTAGAAAAAAGTAAGAGAATTGGTGAATCAGTGTTTAATTTTTTGACTTTAATTTTCTTATGGTTTCCAACTTTTCATCATTTTAATATTCACACTCCCTAGACTGGCCACACCCGGAAAATCTCACAAATCTGACCCGGACAAGTATACTAAAGAACAGAAAAAATATATAGTGAGATATAGCTTCAGGCATGGTGCAAGAGAAAAATCTATTTATTAATGTATTCCTCGAGTTGCTTATTATTCTAGAACTTGCTATATCTACTGCAACAACTAAAACGTGACTGGAAATTTAATTAGTACTTCATCTCTACGACACTACAACATCCACAGATATTAATGTCTTCAATTAACCTTGATAAGAGTTGTCGCTGTGGTCAACACTTGAGAGGCAGCACGATGAGCTCCATATGGAACGTTGCAATGTTGATATTAGCCTTAGTGGTTGTGAGGATCAGCCACTGGCTTTACCGATGGTCAAACCCTAAGTGTAATGGCAAGTTACCACCGGGAGCTATGGGTTTTCCAATCATTGGAGAGACTATTGATTTCTTAAAGCCTTGTGGATTCAACGATATCCCAACCTTTGTAAAGAAGAGGATGATAAGGTTAGATTTCAATTATATGTAGAAGAGCTGTTATATTGTATGTATATGGTAAGCTTTGTGTTTGTATGAATCCCTTCCAGGTATGGACTGTTGTTTCGGACAAACATTTTCGGTTCCAAAACCGTGGTTTCGGCGGATCCAGATGTAATCAACCAGATTTTCCGGCAAGAGAACACGTCTTTTGGGCTAGGCTATCCGGACATACTTGTGAAAGTATTTGGAAAAGATAATTTGTTCTTGAAGGAAGTGTTCATCCACAAGTACCTCCACAAAGTCACTATGCAAATTATTGGCTCCGAGGGTTTGAAGCAAACAATGATAGGAAACATGGACAAAGCTACCCGCGACCATTTTAGATTGAAGGCTAGCCAGGGGAGCTTCAATGTTCGTAAAGAAGTTGAAAACGTAAGTGTACACATCTCCATTTGTTCTCTTTACCAATTTCAGCTCGTACCAATAATTTTTTTTTTTTTTTTTTTTTTTTGAATGAATGTAAAATTTATTCACCAAAAAACCGGTGTTACATCAAGTGCATCCTTTTAGAGGTTTTTTGACATTGAGTTTACAATTTAAAACTTAGTGGAAAGCCAAAATGTGAAAAGGTCTTCATACTTTGCGTTTCCTGTTTTTCGACCAATAATTAAACTCTTCCTTAATTCCAGTTGATTGTGGCGTACATGACACCAAAGCTGATAAGTAACCTTAAACCAGAGACGCAATCAAAGCTTATAGATAATCTCAACGCCTTCAATCTTGATTGGTTTCAGTCCTTCTTTAGTCTCTCTTCTTGGAAAGCTCTCATCAAAGTCCTCAAGGTGACTTAAAACATTTCCTTTTTAGTTTTTTTGGTAATTTCTATATTAGTAATTATAAATAGTACATGTTTTCTCTACTAATTGCTTGGTGTATTCAGTCACGCGGAGAAGCGATTCAGGTGATGAAAGACGTTCTCAGTATGAGAAGAGAGTCACGAGAGAAGCAAGAAGACTTCCTCAACACGTTGCTAGAAGAACTGGACAAAGAAAGTAGCATTTTCGACCAAGGATCCGCTACAAACCTCATCTTCCTTCTGGCATTCGTCGCGAGAGAAGGTACCTCCAGTTGTACTGCTTTGGCCGTGAAATTCATATCCAAAGACCCGAAAGTGCTTGCAGAGCTCAAGGTAATATATAAGAAACAACTAACAAGTATATATGGCTATCGTCTTTAAGAACAAGAGTGTGGATGGATTTGATAGAGTCATATATATATATATATATATATAATGTGGCACAGCGTGAGCATAAGGCAATTGTAGACAACAGAAAAGATAAGAAAGCTGGAGTTAGCTGGGAAGAATACACACACAACATGACTTTCACAAACATGGTAAATACCCCATCTACATGTATACATATTTGTGTGTATCTTTCTGATTTACCCTGGATAATGAGATATTTACGAGTGGAAGATATGACTTTAACCTGTAGGTTATCAATGAGTCGCTTCGCCTGTCAAACACGACCCCTTTATTGTTTCGAAAGGCACTGCACGATGTTGAGATCAAAGGCAAGTACTACTTGGAAAGTTATATATGTAAAAAAAAATATTATCTGAATCACTAGAAGAAGCTTTAATTCTGGGCAGGATATACAATTCCGGCTGGTTGGATTGTGGCAGTTGCACCTTCAGCGGTTCATTATGATCCTATAAACTATGAGAACCCATTTGAGTTTAATCCATGGAGATGGGAGGTGTCTTAATTATACACTTACTCTGATTTTAGCTGCTTTCTTTTTTTCTCTTTCTCCATCATCTTTTGTAAACCTATAGATGGGATTTGGTTGGTTGGTTGGCAGGGGAAAGAAATGACTCGGGGGTCTAAAACGTTCATGGCGTTTGGAAGTGGAGTTAGACTTTGTGTAGGTGCAGAGTTTGCGCGGCTTCAAATGGCAATCTTCCTTCTTTGAGAATTCACGATTATCGTATCCCTAAAATAAAACCCTAGACAAATCTTGATTGTGTTAGTTTCGACTGATCTGCTTGTAAACATCTCCCAGTCTCCTACCAAGTGAACCATGCAGTTTCCAAATCTTAATAATCAGATCATTATATTATTTCCTGCTTCCGTAAAATGTCTGGAGTTCAGCTTTGTTTATATATGTCTTGAATCTGATCACATGGGGCCTGTTCACATCTAAAGCTTATTTTATGAAACACTCTTTGCAGCTGCTTCTGTAATGATAACAAAGGTGTTAATTTAAAATAAATTTTAGACACATTTGTTTTGACCACGCGAGAAGCAAAATCTCTCTGCATCTTCTCGAAATCCAAAAAATAAGGCGAGCAAAACGATAGGGAAACATAGATCTTCAAATTTCATAAATCACAATGAACGAGAATTACATAAAGATTGATTCGTTTTCTTCGATTTTTAGGTTCTTTTTTTTATCTATCTTGGTAGCGATATGCATATATGTGTAAGGGTAGATTAGTCTTTCACTTCGTACATGATTAGGTTTAATCTCTTCTATAAATATATATATGTAACCTTTTGACGAAGATATTGAAGAGGGAGTGAATCTGAAACTCTGTACAAAAAGTTCGTCAAGATACTACTTACGCTTGGCAACGAATCCCTAACGTCTAATATCCCATTCCATAGCCTTTGATCTATGATGCTTGCGATCCATATCTCCTATCATCCTTCGCTTCAAACCCTCTGAGCCAAGAAAATGTTAGTACTTTTTTTTCATGTGCTTGTGGATGTTCCCGTCCTTCGATACCAAGTTATATTTTCGCAATCGATCGTTTCACAAGACCCTCCGGTTAACTTAAAATGAAAGACTTGTTCTCTAGCGGTAAAATCTCAAAGTTCACATCCGAGTCAGTGGAAAATACAGTTTGGGATCCAAAGATGTACGTCCGAAACAACAGTCCGTACCTGAAACATTCACAAAACATAAAAAACATACATGGTTTCATTAGGTAACGGTAAGGAAATAATAGATTAGAGAGATCGAAATCTGACTTTAATTAACATCCTCTTTTTAAAAAAGTGCGAGACCCGGCCCAAAGAATCTATGAGGCTTACAGAAGTCGACAGTCTCTCCGATAATCGGAAAACCCATTGATCTAGGTGGTAACTGGTAACTTGCCATTGCACTTAGGGTTTGACCATCGATCGGTAAAACCAGTGACGGATCCTCACAACCACTAAGGCTATAGACCTATAATCAGCATCGCAACGTTCCTCATGAAATTCATACTGCACTCTCTCTCAAGTACGTTGACCACCCACTACAACTTTTATATTATTTGAAATAAATTATTGTGTTTTTATATGATTTTTTTAAGGAATAAGAATGTCAAATAGCCTAATAAAGAAATAGTGAAAGTTATATATATTAATTAAATTTGTTATGTTAATTTTTAAATATTAAAAGAAAACAAAGAAAAAATGTGTCTAGCTTAATTATCCCTTCCCAGTTTCTTTAAATGATAAAAACAAAATGTGATATTTTTTAAAGATTTTTTTATTATAATGATATAATGAAATCTAATGAAAGTTTGAAAGAAAAAAAAAGACACATGTCAAAAAGAGGAATGTCACATGTTAACTTCTTAGAGCTTGTTTAATTTTTAAAGAAATATTTTATTATATAAGATTAGTTGTTATCTCTTTACAATTTTTTTAAATGATAGAAACAAAAATGTGTCTCCTCAATATTGTTTTAGATATTTTCTAATATATAATGAAATCTAATGGAAGTTTGAGAGGAAAGACACATATCAACATAGGGATGCTAGGTGTCATCTTTCTCAGAGCAAGCTTGCGTTCTGAAACCTTACATAATATGATGGCATTATTTAAATGTGGTCCAGTGTTATATGCATGTAAAGATCATGTTCTTGTTGCCTTACTAAAAGGTTTGATACAAAATGTGGAGGCTGAAGATCGGAGCTAAGGGCGGAGATGAGACTCACTTGTTCACCACCAACAACTACACCGGAAGACAAACTTGGGAGTTTGATGCCGATGCCTGCTCCCCAGAGGAACTCGCTGAGGTCAATGAAGCTCGGCAGAATTTCTTCATAAACCGGTCACGTTTCAAGATCAGTGCTGATCTCCTTTGGCGAATGCAGGTGGAGCTTTTAACATGCATGAGTTTGCCATTGTTAGATGCAGTGTTTTATTTGGTGGAATACTTTTTGATGATATAGTTGGACATATTGTAGGGAAAAATATGAGTTTGTGTTTTTGTTTTTTTTTTTGGATGGATTTTAATAGTTTCTAAGGGAGAAGAAGTTCGAGCAGAAGATTCCGAGAGTGGAAATAGGAGATGCGGAAAAGATAACGTACAAAGACGCAAAGTCGGCACTGAGAAGAGGGATACTATATTTCAAGGCATTGCAAGCTGAGGATGGACATTGGCCTGCTGAAAACTCTGGTTCCTTGTTCTTCGAAGCTCCCTTTGTTAGCTATCCTTCACTCTCTCTACTAATACTAAATTATTCTTTTGTTTTCTATTCATCATCAAATATATATATATGTAAATTGTAATGATAAAATATATTAGGTCATATGCTTGTACATTACTGGACATCTGGAGAAAATCTTCAGTTTGGAACATCGCAAGGAACTATTGCGCTACATGTACAACCATCAGGTAATCGTATCTTATGGAACACATTTGATCATAGAGATAGATTCTTTTTATTGATTAGCCCCTCTCTGATATTTAATATGATAGTTCTCTGACGTTAACTACGATGATAATAATTTTTTATTTTTGTAGAACGAAGATGGTGGGTGGGGACTACACGTGGAAGGCCAAAGTGCTATGTTCTGCACGGTCATCAACTACATTTGCCTACGGATTTTTGGAGTAGAAGCAGATCATGATGATATTAAAGGAAGTGGTTGTGCAAGGGCTCGTAAGTGGATCCTTGATCACGGTGGTGCTACATATACGCCCTTGATCGGAAAAGTTTGGCTATCGGTATTTATGCATAACATCCGCGGAATACTTATTTTATAAATAAAATTTGTCCTTCTATTATTTTCGACGAGGGATTGCTTACAGTTTTATCATCGATTGTGTTTTGCTTTTTCCCACACAGGTCCTTGGAGTGTATGATTGGTCCGGTTGCAAACCCATACCGCCTGAGGTGTGGATGCTCCCTTCTTTTTCGCCCTTCAACGGAGGTTTCACTTCTACATTCTATGATATAAATTGTTATGGTTTTGTTACATTTGCTTGCTAGCGAGTATTTAAGTTATTTATTGTGTAATCAAAATTGATTGGTCCAAGCATGTCTCTAATCAACATATGTGTAAACAGGTACTCTATGGATTTATTTCCGGGAGATTTTCATGGGCGTGTCATACTTGTATGGTAAGAAATTTGTAGCTACACCAACACCTCTCATTTTACAGCTTCGGGAAGAGCTTTATCCTCAACCTTATGACAAAATCCTATGGAGTCAAGCTCGGAATATGTGCGCAAAGGTAAAATAATTGAAGGTACATGACAGTATGAGACCAATGAATTATCACATAATAACTTTTTTTAAAAAATTCATGATGCAGGAAGATCTCTACTATCCACAGTCATTTTTACAAGAAATGTTTTGGAAAGGTGTTCATACATTGTCAGAGACTATCCTGAGTCGATGGCCTTTCAACAAGCTCATAAGGCAAAAAGCTCTTCGAACCACAATGGAGCTCCTACATTATCACGATGAAGCGAGCCGATACTTTACCGGTGGATGTGTGCCAAAGGTAAAAATTTCCTTGATATACCGCAATAGTACAAATGACAAAAAGAGAAGTTTATTTTTGTACCGGAACTTGTATTCTAAAGATTTCTACTGTTGTTTGATTTTTGATATAGCCGTTTCATATGCTTGCTTGTTGGGTAGAAGACCCCGACGGTGATTATTTTAAGAAACATCTTGCTCGAGTCCCCGATTATATATGGATTGGAGAGGATGGTCTGAAAATCCAAGTTAGTACTATTAGAGTTATTTTTTTTTACTCTGTTTTGGAACTCTATAACTCTGTCTCATTATGTTATTTGGTGCAGTCTTTTGGTAGCCAATTGTGGGATACAGCATTCTCACTTCAAGTCATGTTAGCTTATCAAGATGTTGATGCCGATGATAATGATATTGGATCAACGTTAATGAAAGGATACAATTTCTTGAATAAATCTCAGCTTACACAAAATCCTCCTGGTGACCATAGGAAAATGTTTAAAGACATTGTGAAAGGAGGATGGACATTTTCGGACCAAGACCAAGGATGGCCTGTTTCCGATTGTACTGCTGAGAGTTTAGAGGTTCTGACTCCAATGGTTATTAGTTCTTTAATTAAGTAACGTTTTACGATCAATTAACTAACATTTGAGAATTAACCGCGGTTGACACTTGGCCGGACAGTGTTGCCTTGTCTTTGGAAGCATGCCATCGGAGTTGATTGGCGAGAAAATGGATGTGGAGAGGCTCTATGATGCCGTTAACTTACTTCTCTATTTTCAGGTATTATAAGTTTATAACCAAAACTCCCAACGGGCTAGTGATTAATGATATTAATTTGTTACAAAATTTTAACAGAGCAAAAATGGAGGCATAGCAGTGTGGGAGGCAGCTCGTGGAAGAACCTGGCTAGAGGTATTTATTTTAATTTTTCTTACTATTTTGTGTTTTTAGTGTAACTGTAATGCCTCAAAATAAATTGCAGTGGCTTAGTCCGGTGGAGTTTATGGAAGACACAATCGTCGAGCATGAGTATACTATCTATACCACATCTTTTTTTTTGTTTTGCTTTCTTTTGTTACTGGATAAATGAATGATTTAGATTATGGAATATATGGAGCTTTGTTTAGGTATTTAGAATGCACGGGGTCTGCGATAGTGGCATTGGCACGGTTCTTGAAAGAGTATCCGGAGCACAGAAAGGAAGAGGTTGAAAGGTTTATCAAGAGTGCTGTCAAATACATAGAAAGCTTTCAAATGCCCGATGGTTCGTGGTATGGAAACTGGGGTGTCTGTTTCATGTATGGAACCTTTTTCGCGGTAAGAGGTCTAGTGGCTGCAGGCAAGACGTACCAGAACTGTGAGCCGATTCGTAGAGCGGTTCAGTTCCTTCTGGAGACACAAAACGTTCAAGGCGGTTGGGGTGAGAGTTATCTATCTTGCCCCAGGAAGAGATATACACCTCTAGAGGGAAACAGAACCAATGTGGTGAATACGGGACAAGCAATGATGGTTTTGATTATGTGTGGTCAGATGGAGAGAGACCCTTTGCCTGTTCATCGCGCAGCTAAAGTGTTGATCAATTCCCAGATGGATAATGGCGATTTTCCGCAAGAGGTAATTGTTATTTTTCTATTTCCAATTTACACTTCAATCTGATACAAGATAACTCTATATGTCACAAAATGCAGGAAATAATGGGAGTGTTCAAGATGAATGTGATGATCAATTATCCAAACTATAGAAACATTTTCACTCTTTGGGCGCTCGCATACTACATGAAGGCGCTGCGCCTGCTCCTCTAATGAAAACTTCCCATCCCAAGCTTATTCTATGAAACACTCTTTGACGCTGCTTCTGTAATAATGACTTAACAACACTTATCATTTTCTGCTAAGTGTTACTTGTCAGTCAAAACATCTTTACAAAATAAGGTAGAGGTTTATTGGATCAACAAATCTAATCGAAATCATGTGTTATTGCTTTTGAAATACCAAGGATTTTCACCAGGTTACAATCTCTGTATTACAGCCAAATCCTCTTTTGTGTGTGCTTTACTGTACTATAAGTCTATAAGCATGTCTCATCTCAATCTTTCTAACTTCTGTTGGAAAAGCTAATCAATTCTTTCGAGATTATACATCACCATTTCTTCTAGAGCTGACAGGAAAGCACTTCGAGGCAGGCACTGCAGATTCTTTATCGCGTCATCAGCTTTCTCTCTAGCCAATTCTTGTGCTCTCCTGATTCCCCCGCCTTCTCTCACCATTTCAATTGCTTCTTCCAGAGAACCCGCCTCACAAAATTCAGACTCAATGATCTCTCTCAGCCTTGCCTCTTTCTCCAGAGCGAAAATCACGGGTGCGGTTAAGTTACCTTTAGCCAAGTCACTCCCTGCTGGCTTCCCGAGCTGCTCTGTCGACTGAGTGAAATCCAAAATATCATCGACTATCTGAAAAGAGAGACCGAGATTCTTCCCAAACTCATACATTTGCTCTGTCACATCAGTCTCAACTCTGCTGAAAATGGCAGCTCCTTTGGTGCTTGCAGCCACTAAAGAGGCTGTCTTGTAGAAACTCTTGAGTAAGTAGTCGTCGAGCTTAGCGTCGCAGTCAAATAAGCTGGATGCCTGCTTTATCTCTCCGCTTGCAAAGTCCTTGATCACCTGAAATGCGATTAAAATGCGATTTAGAGCACAACCTCATAGAAGAAACAATGCAAGAGTAATTAAGTACCTGACTGATGAGCTTAATAACTTGAAGATTCTCGAGATTTGCTAAGTACCATGACGCTTGAGCAAACATGAAATCTCCAGCTAACACTGCTACTCTTGTGCCGAAAAGCTCGTGAACAGTTTCCTTTCCTGCAATTACACAGAGAGTTTTAACCAAACCAAACATTTTTATCAGAAAACAGATGAATCATCATAACCATTAATAAACTCACCTCTTCGCATATCACTCTCATCCAACACGTCGTCGTGTATCAAGCTTGCGGTGTGTATCATCTCGATGATCTCAGCCAAACGCCGGTGTTCAGTTGTAAGTTCCCTGCATTTAGACATCTGAATATGATCATTTTGTGCTAAAGATTGAATGAAAGGAATACAAAAAAAAAGAAAGATAGAGAAGTCTAAAGACAACTCACTTTAAGCCTGCTAATTCCGCCGTGGCATGTGATACAAGGAATACCAAACCCGGTCTCATTCTTTTACCACCAGCTCCGAAAATTTGCTCAGCGGCAGATATCAGAACCGGATTTTCTGCACCAACAATCTATAAAGAACAACATTGTAAATACCCTAGTGCAAATTCAAACACAGAATACAAAAAAGAGTTTCTTCGAATACTAACAGATAAAAGATTGTCATTCAAAGTCTGCAGATCATCAGCTACTAGCTCAAACAGATTGACCAACGAAATAGGCTGTTTAGACGCTTGCCTCAAATCAAAAGTCACTGTTTGAGCTTGACCAATACCTACACTTCTCATGAGGCATAAGCATAAACTCCAAGAGAATCAATAACTATTTGTAGAAGAAGATTCACGAACACTTAGAGAGAGTCAAACAAAATCAGAATTCTATCACATGAAACAAAAAAAAAGAAAGTTAAAAGACTTTAGTGAGAATCATACATACCATTGAGCAAAGAGATTTCCTTTGATTTCGTCGGTACCGCTTTGCAAAGAATCCCACCGCCATAGCTTCTATTGCTGCTACCAAACTTACAAACAACAGTCTTCGCTAAGGAAGGAAATTGACGACGGCCACAACCACATGCCATCATCATCGTACCTAAATCTATATTCCGACATGACGTCATCATTCTCACAAAACCCAGAATATTTTGGGCAAATAGGTAAAGATTGAAGCTTTAAAAGCAACGAAAAAGCTGACTCCTTTTCTTCCACGGGAAAATTGGGTGTGTGGAAAAATTACAACAAAAATACAAAATCAAGTAGTTGCGGATCGAGTTTTTTCTATCATTACTTTTGTTGGGTGGACGAGACAAGCCCACATGAGATCACTCGGAGGCACCAAAGTGACGACGACTGTCTTCTCTTTTTTGTTCACTACGAGAAGAGGGAAACGATTGATTAGTCTACGCTTATCTAATCTTGAGGCTAAGATCTCACCACGTGTCACTTATCCAATGGTTTAACTTACTAACATTCGAGTATATCGAATACGTTACCTTTTTATATATAAAAAAAATTTCTTTAGACCATTTCCAACAGAGAGAAACCATCAAAGTTTTTCAAATATAGTAATTTAATGTTTTTGTAATAAATGATTTATTTATTTAAATTTTAATTACATAAAAAAAATTTTAACCAATCAAATGATGCCAAGTATTAAACACAGTGTCTCACAGTTTCTCAAATGAGACACAGTATCTCATTCTCTCTCTTACTTTTCTTTATTTTCTATTTTTTAATTCATTAGACACTGTATGAGACACCCTTATTGGAAGTGCTCTAAGAATGCGTTACTTTCTGACACCAAAGAAAAAAGAAAAGAAAACGTTACCTTGTTGTTCTACATATATTTCCAAATTCCAATGTTCGACTATAGTACTAGTATTTTACAAGTCCTTTTTTTCTGCAGTTAATGTGGTGAAGAATTCAATTTTATAAGCTTAATTACGGTAAATTCTATGTTTACGTCAGTACGTAATTCGGTTTAAGTCATTACTGTAAATGAGATCGAATAATTTTGATAATTGTTGGATACTTTCTTTTTTGCTTTTATGTTATTAAACATGATTGTAGCAAAAATAAACGTTCCAGGAATCAAACATTTCATTTAACATATGATTAATCAAAATCTGTGAACTCTGGAAATTTAAATTACAACTCATAAACATGGCAACAACAAGAAAACACATTCCTCCTCTGTTTGCTTGTAAGAAATATGTTTTTTTTCTTGCTCATGTGTATTCATAGTAGCAGTTTCCATAGCCTACACATATAGAAAAATGAAATTAACTTTAATATAAGCTGATACTTTTATATATATATAGAAGTGTTTTTAAATAGCATAATTGAAGAGAAAGAGCAAACTCACTCGGATTAGTTATGACAATGAGTCCAGAGTTTTTGAAATTGCAGTTCCAATAGTTTCTTCCATTGGCTTGGTAATAAAGATTCATGGCGATAGAAGCATGGTTGATGAGGTTACCAGGGGAATAACATGGACATCCACTCGAAAGAACACGACAATCAACATGAGAACATGCGAAGTTTATGTTATCTAGAAGTGTTGCTTGATCCGAAGAAGGTTTGGCCACACACCAAGTCTTAGTCTATAACAACAACTTGGAACAAAATTCACTGAGTAAGAAGAAATCAGATTGCAGTTTTTCAAACATTGATAAGTGGTCTAAGCATATACCTCTGCGTTGACGTTGATGAAGTTTTTGTCTGTGAAAAGGAAAACATGCGGATGGTACTGTTAAGTAGGATTATTATTATATACTGAAATTGGAAACTCTTAAGTTAAAACTTTGAGAGACATTGAATGTAAAATTCAATAAGTAGGATACATGGTTGAGTAGTTGTAATTTTATTTACCTGAGAAAAGGTAGAGGATGATGAGGAAGGAAAGGCAGATCCATGCTTTAGCCATTGTTTGATTTCTGTTTGAGTGAGAGAACTCTTCTACACTCTTTGGTATATATAAATGATGATGAGCAAGTCAATCAGTGATTAGTTTCTCTTTTATAAAATAAAACAATTTAAAAAAGAAACAAAGATTTGTTTTTTACTTCTTTTTTTGATATCTAATGCTAATTAATGTTTTCAGGCTTTTGAGGTGAATAATCCAGCATATTGCTTCTAGGAAAAGTAAGCGTTTTAGCAAAAGTGTCGTTATATAAACGTACTCTTTGCCTCTTTGGTTTGGTTTGGTTGGTTTTAGCTAAGTAAAAAAAAAAAAAAAAAAAACAAGAGTTGCTAATTGAATCAGAAGGTTTAAACTACCACATTAAACCTTCTGAATCAATTTTTTTTTTTTTTACTTAGCTAATTGATTCAGAAGGTTTAATGTAGTAGTGAGAACATTTGGGATCAAATAACAAGACATCAAAACGTGAGCTAAGCTGTAAATTAGGGAAAATTTTAGGATCCAATGCCCACTTTGTACGAGAATCTTAAAAAAGAATACTTGATATAGGGCTTTTTGTGTATAATAATCCTTTCATTCCATACCAAAAAAAAATCAACTATAAATAATCTATTACAGTTATCAAAGAAGCGAATCTCGAAATCTTTTTTCTTCAGCAAAACTTTATTTGGAACTGAATTTGATTATTTCCAGAAACTAATATTCTTATAGAGCAACATTTGACAAGAGAGACATCAAAAAGAAGAACGTGTGGAAAGTTTGATGTATTCGAGCAATTTGACAACCTCGGTCATGGTTGGTCTAATGGCTGGTTCGGGTTCAAGACACATCATCGCTATACCAAACACATCGTTCATCTCTTGAACCGATGATCCTCTTAACCGGTTATCTATCACCACATCTTCCCTTTGGTCTTTCACCACTCCTTTTACCTGAATAATACAATTACAGACCACAACGACGTCGCTTGAAAGTTGAAACCAAACCAGATTAATAACTTAAACAAGGAAAAGAGATAGATAACTTATTACCCAAGTAACAAGCTTTGTTCCTTCTTCAAAAAACTCATCATCTGTTGGTTTTCTTCCGGTTAAAAGCTCCAAAAGAACAACACCGAAACTGTAAACATCTCCTTTCATTGTCGCTTTACCCGTATCAAAATACTCTGTTTATACCAAAACAAACATGAACAAAATCGAAATGCAATCTTAATCTTGGTTATATATGTTTGAATCTATCAGTTGTACCAACCAGGAGCTAAGTATCCGAATGTTCCAGCTACAAAAGTCGAAACATGAGTCTTGTCTGGCTCCATCAAAGTGGCTAAACCGAAATCCGAAACCCTAGCTTCCATGTTGTGATCAAGAAGTATGTTGCTAGATTTGATGTCTCTATGGATAATATGAGGGATGCAATCATAATGAAGATAAGAAATCCCTCTAGCCGCTCCAACCGCTATTCTATATCTTGACGCCCAATCCAAAGCTTTTCTATCTCTAGATTTTCTTCCTGCAAAAAAAAAAAAACTTGTGGTTGAAGAAACCACTCATATACACGTTTTTGTGCTTAATGCTCTGTTTTGTGCCTACCGTGTAGAAAAGAATCCAAGCTTCCATTAGGCATGAGCTCATAGATGAGGAGATTGTAATGTGGAGAAGTGAAGTAGCCGTGGAGAGTTACAATGTTTCTGTGTTTTATATCAGCCATTGCTTCTAACTCTCTATGAAACCCTCTGTCTCTCTCAGAAGTTCCTCTGTTTAGTCTCTTCACAGCAAAAGTAGTTGAATCATCAATGACTAATCTGTACACAGTTCCATATCCTCCAGAACCGAGAATGTCTTTGTTGCTTAGCTTATGTGTCTTCTTCATAAACATGTCGGAGGAAACAGAGTTAAGTAATGGAGATCTAAACATCACCATTTTTCCTCCTCCTTTGACTGCAAAGTTGTAAAACATAAACATTAGAGAAATGATTATCAACACATAGAATCATAGATAAAGCTAGTTGAATACCTGGAAATCCATTTTCATGAACTGTGTGCTTTCTCTTCCATCTCTTGTAGAGAAGAACAGCGATTACGATTTTGCCAATGACAAAAGCTACCACAGAGATTGTTATATAAAACGTTGTTTCCTTTGCATTAGTCATTGTTTCTCTACACAAAAACTTCTCCCTTATCTGATTATCAAGATTTGAAAAAGAAGAGAAGACAAAGAAGTTGGTTACGTGAAAACGGAGATAGACAGGAAAAGAATACCAACAATTGGACAGGCCACATAAGAAAAACAATTATCAAGTATGAAATGAAAAATGAGTTTATACATAAAAATTCATCCGCTTTTTGTTGAAATTATTAAATGAGAAGTAACACTTTATGATAAAAGAACTCGTGAGGTGGGGGTGCTTTACCAGCTATTACATAGTTTTTGTGGTTGACTTTATTCTCAACATGTATAAGAAGACCAGTAATTAATATTGCAAGATTTTACAACTACGAACAATAATTCAAAAAACCCTTACAAAGTGTGATTTTAACATTAATTTGAGAATGATTTAGCTAAGCCCTCTTAGCTAATACTCTCTCCGTTTCGTTTTAGTTGTCCACACAAATTAAGAAAAACATTAAATTTTCTGTTTTACCCTTTTTTAATATATCTTATAAATTTTTTCATTGACCAAAACATTAAAACAATAAGGATAATATTGGAATTTTTACCAAACATTTGCATTGAAAACCTAAAACGACAACTGTTACGAAACAAAATTTAAGTCCTAAAACGACAACTAAAACGAAACGGAGGGAGTACAAATTTACTAGAGATTTAGCGTATATATATTGGAAAATGTAGAAACGTCGTGCACATAGAAGGCGTGAAATATATGATTCATTTATGACACCAAAACTTAAGTACCAGAAGGACGGGATGGTAATTCTGGTTTGTTTTCAACGTATTTATATTTAACTTTAAGTTTTTTGATTTTAGTTAAAACTTAAAATGGTTTATTTTAAACATTATTTGTGAAAAACCTTAATACTTAGCCAAATGTTAAATTTACAATACGTATGTTGCACTTATGACACCAGAACTTACGGACCAAAATGAAGGGATACTAAGTCCAGTTTGTGTTCAACGTATTTCATTTTAGCACTTAGTTTCTTTTTAAACAAAAAAAATTTGTGAACTAAAATGGTTTATTTAAATTTTGTTTATGAAAAACCTTAAACTTAGCCAAGTGTTAAATTTAATATACGTGAAAACATGATGAACTTATGACACCACAAAACTTACGGACCAAAAGGACGGGATGCTTAGTCCGGTCTGTTTTCAACGTATTTAAATTTAACAATTGGCTTTTTTTGGAAGACAAAAATATTTAGTAAAATCAAAAACTTTTAGTTAAAAATAATATAATTTAATTAAAATATTATTTGTGAAAAACCTTAAAACATAGCCTTAGCCAAGTGTTAAATTTAATATACGAGAAAACATGTTGAACTTATGACACGACAAAACTTACGGACCAAAAAAACGGCACTCTAAGTTCGGTTTGTTTTCAACGTATTTAAATTTAACACTTAGTTTAGTTTTTTTTAAAAACAAATACATTAAGTAAAATCAAAATCTTTTAATTAAAAAATAATATAATTTACTTAAAATAATATTTGTGAAAAAACATTAAAACTAGCCAAGTGTTAAATTAAATATACGTGAAAACATGTTGAACTTATGACACGACAAAACTTACGGACCAAAAGGACGGCATGCTAAGTCCGATTTGTTTTCAACGTATTTAAATGAACACTTGTTTTTTTTCTAAAACAAAAAGCATTTTAGGAAAATCAAAAACTTTTAGTTAGAAAATAATACAATTTACTTAAAATATTTTTTGTGAAAAACATTTAGCTAAGTGTTAAATTTAACATACGTGAAAACATGTTGAACTTATGACACGACAAAACTTACGGACCAAAAGGACGGCATGCTAAGTCCGGTTTGTTTTCAATGTATATAAATTTAACACTTAGTTTTTTTTATAAAACAAATATATTTAGTAAAATCAAATTTTTTAGTTAAGAAATTAAAAGTATTAAAACCTTTTTTGTAATTAACCTACCTACCTATAAAATTATAGATTAAATAATATAACAAGAATATAAACAAGATAGGGATTGAAATTGACCTTGCCGATTGGATTGCGTGCATTGTCTCAGTAGAATTTAGGCGAGAAAGTCAAACAAATTTTATAACGGGCTTGTCATTTATTCATGGGCTGTTATTGGGCTTTGTAGTGCCCAAAACGTTTCAGTGACTGCAATTGTGTGGCCATTCCGTCTCTGTCACGTCTACGAGACGTCGAGACTATTGATGAAAAGCTCCGAAGTTGCAACCACATCTACGTACAAAAAAGAAAGAGTTGATTAGGGATCTCGAACAAAAATCAAAAACTTTGAGAAATATATGATTAGGATCAGAGGGAGTTAATTAGACCTAAAATTCAAATAGGATTAGAAAAAAACCACTCTGAAACATAAGGAGTCTCTGTTTTTGGACCGATCAGAAGAATTATATATGGGTAAGAATTGTATAAGGAAGCAAAATACCTTTTAAGAACAGAGTGTTGTAGTCGGCGCAAGTTGGTTTGATCTCTTTACGACAGCCTTTACTTTTGCCTCTGATCGTCATCCGATTTTTGTTTTGTTTCATGAAAAATCAAACAGTAAAAACTAATGAAAGAGTAAGACTAAAATTCACAGACTGATCTGGGTAGAAGAAAGAAAAGAGAGAAACAGAGAAAACAAAAGAACGTTTTTCCGATAAGAGAAAAAGAGGAAAATGCTATGACTTTGCCGTTAGAGAGAGACGGAATTCCCTATATACCCCTAGGAAAAAAGGAAACCTTGGCCGAGAGCGTGGAAATTACCTAAATACCCCCATTGGGAAAAAGGAAAACTGTTTACGAACGTTGAAAAATTCGTCTACGTAATAACGGTCTAGTGGGTGAGCTGGAACTCCAACTGTTGGGCTTTGTAAGTGCCCTTTGGGCTTCGACACTCACTACTTGAGACGGTACCTGTTTTCTCTTCTTCCATCTCTTGTAGAGAAGAAGAGCGATTACGACTTTAACAATGAATGACAAAAGCAACCACATAGGTTGTTATATAAAACGTCGTTTCCTTCAAAAACTCCTTGCAAATTGTGATTTTAACATTAATTTGAGACTGATTTAGTTAAGCCCTCTTAGCTTATACAAATTTACTAACTGTAAGAGAGATTAAGCGTCTGTATATTGGAAAATGTAGAAACGTCACACATCATTCAATGGCTTCTTATGATCCTGCATGCACAAACAAAAATCAAAAGCAAAACAACGTTTCTCAATCTCGAAATTCAGTTTTATCTTTTGGTCTAACACAATAAAGAACCTTTCTCTCTTTCTCACCTTCCTAGCCGAGAGAGCTCCGGTTCAGCCAACAACACATCTTGCAGCGGTTTTGCATCCATGTACCTTTCACTACTTCTGCAGAAAATAGAATGTGATTTGAATCAGAGATTTAATGAAAAAGATGATTTTGTTTAGGGAGGATGATAAAATAGAGAGAAAACTACTCGCACATGTTATCGATCTTGAGTTGCTTATGATGAAGAGCGAAATCATGACCAACATAACTCACAACCAAACTACCAGCATCAGGGTGAGGCCAGATTCTTGAAATAGGGAAACGGAGTATGAAGGTTCCAGGTTCTTGGCCTTGAAGCGAATGTTCAGCCTCTTCCTTAGTGATGAATCCTTCAATCCATTTAGGCGACGAAGAACGCCACATTCCGTTTATCAATCCCCGGGATATGGAGTAAGCAACAGGGAACAACCAACACCACATTTTCTCAAAATTCACCTGAGTTACGTACTCGTAGCATCCTGATATTCTCCTTAGAAGCTCAAAATCCTGGTGGGTGAGTGATCTACTGCTGCATTTTGAAATCCTCATGAAATGTTCTTCAATCTCATAGACCACATTGTCCCAAAGAACATGTTGATTGTTCCGAGATATCAATATCCATGCATTTGTTCCTTCGGCTATTAGCTCTCTTGCCATGTTGATTTGATAGCTGAAATTTCGAAGTTAAAAAAAACTTTATTTCACAATATCAGTATATCACAACAAAGATTCTTTCTTAGTTTCTTCTCTAGTAAATTCATGATCGTTAGGTTCAAATTACCTATGGTGTGAACATCCAGAGTACAGAGAAACCTGATTTGCAAATTCCAAAACTTCATCGTCTGATGAGTTGTTTGTGATTTCCTTTAGAAGTAGAGATTTGTCGATTATGTTTCCAAGGCAGTATCTAAAGATGGTGGAATCTGAGATTGTATATCTCATTTCCGAGTTTTCTGAATCAGTTGAAGAGTTATCTTCTTCGTGCAATCTCATGCCATTTCCATTCTCAAACTTCCCACAGCAAACAATGCAGAAACGGTAAAGGTTGGTATACGATATGCAACCAAAAACATTATAAAAAGAGTGCTTCACTATATACCTGTCTTGAGGTTTGGGGACGAGAGTTGCATTGTTGATATGATTCCTCGCTCCCAGAAACACTTTCTTTGCCCAACCTGATTCGTTTAACTGAGGACGCGTTATGTAGAAGGTCCGGAGACTCGGTACTTGATAGATGGTCAATGTTGGTCAACCTTTTCGGAGTAACAGAAAGTGGCCGGACATCAGGACTGATCGAAATGCAACGGATTGGATTGGAAACAGCTTGAAGAAAAGGATAATCTTTAGCATTTCGTATTCCAAATTTAATCCAGAACAATCTGTTATCACTCTTGGAGGAAAGCTGGAAAATTTTTTTAACAACAATTCTTTAGAATTTCAGAAAAAGCGAAATATTTGTAACCTAAATGGTCAGACTTTCCCACACAAGTGGTTGCAGAAAAGCAATACAAAGATAAAAAAAAATGCAGTGAAGTGTTGTTTTTACCTGAGAGATCTTGAGCTTAAAGGATGAGCGTCCGTTTAATAATTTGATCGGTCTATCACCAGATGAGAATTCAACTCCTTCATCTCTTACCAAAAGAGGAGCCTCAGCTTCACTCATCCTGGCCTCCACAAGTGTATCGGCATACAGTAGTGATGCAACAACCTTTGCATTTAAACCCAACCATGTAATCAGTGATTTTCCAAGCTAATAAGTAGGCAACTTAGTGCCAAAAGTGATGAGAAATAGTAAGATAAATGAACCTCCACATCCTTGTGCACAGGCTGGCCAATGGCATTGGATAAAACAACATCCAAGGAAAAAATCTCCCTGCAAGATGCCTATAGAGCAAGAAAATAAGTGTTGACTGCGAAAATGTAAATCAATGCCAGGAAAATTTCTAATGAGCTTTAAAACGTCTGACCTGCCAAACACCATCATCATCTAATTTGATCCCCGATGAGGATGATTTATTGACAGATAACAATAGAGGTGGGTCCTGGAAAAAATTGAAAAGAAAATTTAAGAATAATGGAAATAAATCAACACAGAACAAGACTGTTTTAAAGGAAAATAAGGGCAAGAGTTAAGCACTAAGCACTGACCTTCATATAATGATGCTCCACATGATCACTAGCAGGTAAGACTTGTGCACATTGGATGAAACCTTGAACGCTATAACCATCCCCGCCAACACTAAATAGCGATATCTTTCGAGGACACTTGGGATTGGTGTTCTTTGTCAGCAAAGAAGTCACGAACTGCTCTCCTTCAATATTTCCATCAATAAAAAGCCTCATGAAATTTCTAGAAACCTGAGAAAAACAGAAGAAGCAGCCATCTCAAAATGGAAACATAGGATCTTGCAATTCCTGAGAAAATAGAGGAAACCGTACCTCACAACCCACATGAACCCATTTTTGAAGAGGAAACTTGGATTTTGTAGAAACGCTAGGAACTTGTGTCCAGGAAGAAGTGTCTACAGGATCAGGAGCTTCCTTGTGAAGGAGAGTCAATGGCAAAAGCATCATCTTCTTGTTTTCATCTAGCACAAGGAAAGGTGCACTAACACTCATGTCTGAGTGAACCTGTTAAAGAAAAACTACTTGATCAATAACATCATCTACATAATATCAGAGATGAGGAACAAAGTGAACAAATCCTTATTTCCAAGTAAATGAATCTCTATATAAACAATGAAACAGAGAATTGGCCTATCAAAACTTCACTCGAAAACCTAAAAACCAACTCAAATTTCACTTCTTTGTCACAGATACCAACAATCGAGGAAGATAGATCACACCAAGGACAAAAAGTTTGTAAATTCAGTACACAGGACTAAAGGAAAATCAAACAAGTTACAGAACTAACAGAGAAACAAACCGAGTCCGATGAATAAAGGAGGAACATTTCAGCTAAACACGGAGAGAAACAATAAGAAGAAGCTTTGATCTCACCTGTCTAATGATGGTAGATGGGAATGTGGTGGAATTAAGAAGATAAACCCAGAAACAAAGAGAGAAACTTTCGTATTCTTCATCATCTACTTCAACATCGACACTAAAATCTTCTAACAGAGAGTATTTCTCCGTCTCAATTGTAGATACACCCGCCATTACTTCACCCCAAAAAAAAAAAACTCGACTTGTATACGAAACCCTTATAAACCCAGAAAACCCTTTTCTTTTTTGTATTGTTACGAATACAGACCCATCGATTAGCTAAAAAGAGAAATGAAAAATCCTCGAAAGTGTTGATCCCTCAACTTTTGCTCTCCGGCGTCGCGTCTTGTGTGCTTTTCGACGGCTGTTAATATAACGGTTGGTTTCGTCCTCCGGTGGTTTACTGGTTGTGTTTGTGGGCAAAGAGGAATGCTATAATCTGCTGCTTCGCGTCCACAGAAAACCCCAACGCTCAGCCAATTAAATGCCCAGACCTCCTTTTCTTCTTACTTTTTTCTGCATATGCTTAAAGCTTAATCTTGCACAAAAAAAAAAAAAAATGCTTAAAGATTAATTAGAGCGTATGTATTAATGTCTTTAATGACAAAATATGATTTCTCTTAATTACAAATTTACGAGGTCTACCACATAAAGTAATATAGTTTTAAGGGTAACATGTTTAATGAGGGTCTTGCCCTTAAATACGCATAAGATCAAGGTGGGATTTTCCATTGAGTTTCTGAGCAAAGAAGGCATCAAAGTACTCTTGTGTACTCATACTTTTGAACAAACTTTGCTTCTGCCTATCTACAAGGCTTTTCGCCGGACCAACTACTGTCTCCTTTCCCGGACTATGAAATACCGCGACAGATAACCTCTCTTTTTCTGAATTCACCACCGCTCTATGCTCGATGCTTCGATACCTCCCGTTTGTTATGATCTTTACAATAGCAAAACACTCAAATCAGAAAAATGCAGCACCAAAACATCATATTCATACCAATGGGAAGAAGTTTCTAGTAATCTCTCTTACCTCTAAGATTTCCCCAACATTAACAACTAAAGCATCTCGAAGAGGTTTTAGGACAACCCACTTGCCGTCTTTCTTGATCTGAAGTCCTTCCACTTGATTCACCTGTAATAGTATTGTGAGACCTGCAGCGTCTGAATGTGGAGTCAAACCGATAACTTGATCTGGCTGTGGACATGGCGGATAGTAATTAATCTTGATAGATTGCCAAACATCATCGAACAAATCTTCCATTTCTTCGCGTTTAATCTCAAGAACACTCGCCATTTTCG